CATCCATGTGGCGAGAAGAGTCACAACACTCCCAACGCCCAGACCTTGATTATGTGTACCTTTCTTCTAAAAATCGCACACTAAAGCAGATTTTTTGAGCTGTTAATCGTCGAGCTAGCTGTCTTTCTTCGCTCTGTAGCCACAACAAACGCACTGGTCGTCCTATCAGCTTTATCTAGTAATGAGTCTCTTGTTACCAACGCAAGTCCCCAGTCAGCTGTGCCATAAACCATTGGGGAGGTCATCGCCAGAAGAGCCCTCAATTAAGGAAGTATACAGGGAAGAGTGGCACGGGAAAGCAAACAGACCCTCAGATACTGCCAAGTCATGGTTCCTCTTTGTTTTTTTTAAAGGAAGCGCTTAAATGTGTTGAAGTTGAGGTCAGCGCATGCATCACCGACTTGGTAGAAGGAAGAAGACCGTCAGGAATAGATTATAACAAGGTTAGCGAGCACAAAGAGTCAAAGATCAGCCTGTTTACATTCTTGTCCCTACACTTTTAGATAGATGCACTTTGTCTACAAGGCTATTGCTCTGAGATAATGTCAAAATGAATACAAGGAGTAATGAATAGAGTGTACCTAATAAGTGAGATAGTAACAGTGCAGATAGAGAAGATCGGCATGAGTGGTTTGCAAACGTTTCGCACCGCAGGAAGAGAGATTCTGTGATTCTAGACTTTTAAACTTTTAAGATAAAGTTAGACAGTGTTTGCGATGTGATAAAAACTCTGAGTATAGCGTTCAACGGAAATATGTGCAGACAACAGATTCTGATTGAGTTTATTTGCCATTTGCAGTAAAACCACATTGGAATACATGTGCAAAAAGTACCCCAGTGCGTACCACATAAATATATATAAAACATGCTTCGAATCAATTTATGAAGACAAAATCTTTAAAAGAGAGGTTTCAAAAGAGGCGGTTTGTTTCAGAAAGCAGCCGAACTATTGATGTTTGGGGAGGACTCTGCAACATTACAACATAAACAGTAACGTACATTGCTCATCCAATGTCCTATGAACCAATGGCTCTTATGTGTTTTTATTACTGCATTTCCTGTGTTGTAATTGTTTTCTAATCTGTTGTTGCGAATTTAGATTTGTGTGAAGTCTATCAAGGTGAGTGTTGGGATTTAGGGCTATAATAATAATAATAAAAAATGCATCGGTTTTATATAACGCTTTTTTTGGACACACAAAGACACTTTACATGTCAATATTCTTTCACTCCAAACACGGTGGTCATGAACTACTACTGTAGCCACAGCTGCCCTGGGGCACACTGACAGAAGCGAGGCAACCAGTATGTGCCATCGGACCCTCCGACCACCACCAACCATTCACACACACACCAGACTCATTCCAGGCAATGGGGGTAAAGTGTCTTGCCTAAGGACACAACGGCAGTTTGGCACTTTACAGCCGCCCCACTGCGGCTGGTGTTCCCAGAAGTTAAGTGTCTTGCCCAAGGACACAACGGCAGCAGACAGTGGGAGTCGATGGTGAAAGTCGGGCTCAAACCCACGACCCTCTGGCTCACAGGCCAATGCTCTACCAACTGAGCTACTGTCGCCTTATATACAAAGAGAAAATGTAATCGATTGAAATAGATTCACTCTTCCATCTACAATGACTTCAGTAGTTCACATTTCACTTCAGTTGATAATGAGTCCCAATGTAAGTATTCATCCATCCATTTTCTTCTGCTTCATCCGTTGCAGGGTAGCGTGGGCAGCAGTCTGAGAAAAGATGCCCAGACTTACCCGTCCACACACACACAATGTTAGAATCATAGACTGTGTATTAGGAGCGAACTTAATGCGGAAGTGGCCGGTTAGAGCTCGCTCGAACAGGCTTTTTGAAAATGGGAACATGCGCTAAATGTATGCAAATGTTGTTGGTAGCAACAGCTGAGTTACCGAGCTCTGATCAGGAGAGACACGGGCCTGTTCCCTCTCGAGCTACTCTCCATAGCTAAAGCCGAAATTGGCTAGAGTTAGTTATTGGTCAGTTGTGAGGGCTCATATCTGGATTTACAAAGACAATATCACAATACAAATACAAGGATTGGAGAGAGCGCTAAACCACAGATTTTTAAAGCTCAAAATGGTGAGTGTGACACAATCCACAAACGCCAGTCTTCCTAGATCCCCGTAAGACTAGCGACCACTTGTGGAAGCAAATGGAGCTCCAAATTAATGAATAAATAAATGGCTACTGAGCTAGAAGAGTTTACTTTTCAATGTTAGTTAATGAGAGCCAGAGTAGGAGTAAAAATTTCCCCATGAGCACTTCCCTATTGGGCTTCATTGAGCAAGGGGGTTAGCATTCTCAAATCTATATAGAGTCTATGGTAAGAATTCAGGTTGTTAATGTTGAATTAAATATGGTACAATTTGTATATGGTTGAAGTCACTCGCTTGTTGGAAAAGTTTTTCAATCCAAAACAGCCCTTTTTATAGCCCTAAACTCTATGGCAACACAACTTGTAATAGACTCCAGTAAAACACTTTGGCAGTGCACCTTTAAGCTAAATAAATGATTCATTAGGTTGCTTATTCAGTCAGATCAATTCTTTGCCTCTCATTCTTCACCTTACCCAACTGTTTTGTCGGACTGACCTTGTGTAAGAATTCCAACCGGGTTAGATACGCTCCATTGATACTATATAAATAAGATGCGTTGGTACACACCCCAGAGTTCTGTTTGTTCTTGTGTCATAAGAAGTCCTTCCTCCACACCTGCACTGAAATGAAGTCTGCCAATACTGAAGAGAAGCAGTCCCGATGCCATAATAAAAAGTCGTACAAAACTCATTGTGGCTGAAGGTTGCACTTGTCGTTGCTGTGCTGTCTGTGAACCGTTGTGTGTTGTGTTGTGTTGTACCGTGAGTGTCTCCTCTTGATGTCTGTTTTGTTACTTTCTGTCCTCTTCGGCAAAACCAAAATAAAAAAGGATGCTGCGAAAACAGTTTTTTAACACACTCAGACCTGGTTGTTGTATCCGTTCCTGTATTAATAAATCAAATGAATGAATGAATGAAAGTCCATACCCCATGTTGCTAGTGCAAAGGCCCCCATAAAACATTCATACCAGTGCCCTCTTTGATGTCGTCCCTGGACCCGGTGCACATTTCTGAGAAGAACAGTGCCTTCCCCTGGCAACGCCAACCAGAGAGGAAGCGCATAGAGATAAGCCAACACCCATTTAAAACCATAAAACCCTTTCAATATTCATGGAAGAGGCTGTGGTGGTTCCCATAAAGTTTAGGACATTAAACCTGGGAAGAAGGTGGGTGTCATCTCTTGCCGGCTAAGTCTTAAGCTGTGGGGCCCTCACTTGTTAAGGCTTCAAAACACTTAAAACTGAACAGTGAGCTAAAAGGAAAGAGGGAGAGAAAGGCTGAATGAGAGCGCAGAGGAGAGAAGAGGCACCGGGTGTGAATGGCAGGGACGTTCGGTGAGTGGCGCCGGGCAGTCTGCCGGACGGGACACTCAATAGGGAGCGACGCGGCCCACGGAGCGGAGGAATGCGCCCGTACAATAACACAGAGGCAGCAGAAGGACTGGCACTAACAGACCTCTCAGAGCGGCATACAACACACTGTCAGCCCCTGAAAAGAGCCAGCAGGGATATGAAGTCATCTTTGTACACTCGGGACGATTATCAACCGTAAATGTCCCTTTGAACCACTTGTGACCATTGTCCACATCAAAAGGGCAAATACAGTACACACAATTTCAGATGAGTGTAAATAAAGAGATTTTGGAATAACACTAATTGACTTATGATGTTACTATAGAAACCATCAAACTAAGCGTGACCAAACAGTCAACAGCTCTGTTTCCACATGTTGTGTCTTGGACTCACTTGAATTGTTTCCATAACATCCAAAAATGTGCTCCTTGTAGTGTGCAAAGTGTTTCTAATGTGACATTTCAGTTTACATTGGTGCAGACATGCATTACAACAGGGGAAAGGCTTTTTGAAAGTGCTTAACAGCTATGGTTATTGTGTCTTCCTGTGTGTAAGCCTGACATTCTCACCATGCGGATTAAATCAGTACGAATATTATGTTATAAATATGTCATATATCCATGTTCTGGTGGAATCAGGAAATGGCTGTTTCTAATTGGAGCCAGCAGAGCACCTGTAAGTGTATTAAATATTGCAGTATTGATGACAAAGGCAAAGCCCTTGATATCAAGTGCAGGAGTGAAATATCCCACTACCTTAATATTTAACAAGAGTGGAGGAAAGGAAAAGAACAAACTACCTTCCCCTGCATCCAGTGAATGTAAAGGTGTGTTCTGTGCAGTGTGAAGGGTGCAGACTGCAGCATGCTGCTATTGTGCATAAATCTATCTTTCTGTTTATTGATTTTCTATCCTTTGGCTGCTGTCAGGTCAGCTCCTGTGGGATTGTTGATGTGAAACAAGACCTCTCTGCTCCAAAGCAGGTGTTTCTGCTCTGAGCACAACAGATAGGGTTCTGTGCGTAATAACGCATCACTGACTCTGCCACTACCGCACGGAACGTGGCTGAGGTGGAAAGTGTGAAGATATACAGTAAACAGCATCGATAATAGGACTGTGAGTTATTCCTTTGTGCGGGGGAGCAGCGCACGCACCGTGGATGCTTCTCATCCTCCGCCTCTGTCTCCGCGCACCTCCCCGGGACTGGCAGCCCACCGCAGCGCGCGCACTCCGAAAGAGACACGCCTTTTTCTCTCTCCTGGGGTCTGTGGGCAGAGAGGGGCTCGCTGATTGACCAGCTCCTCTCCCTCTCTCCTCGAGCTGTCAGCCGCTGCCTGGCGCCTCCCCCCGCTCCACTCGCCTCTATAAATGAACCAAAGCTCTACGCACCGCTTCCACTGCAAGCCGTCGAGTCTGAGGAATTGTCCACGGGATGTTGACTTGTTCTCCGTTCTTATACTAGTGCAGAATCTCTCGTAGCGTGTAGGCGTGTTTATTCGGCTTTTTCCCCTCTTTACCAGAAGATGAAGGCTGTTAGTCCCGTCCGCCCTCAGGACTCCTCCCACTCTTTCTTACCAAACAGCGGCGTTGGTGGAACCAGTCATCCGACCGCGGTGCACTCTCTGTCGAAGCACAGTGTCAACATCTCCCGGTGCAGGATGGACGAGGAGGACGTGTTCTGTCTGCAGTACGACATGAACGACTGCTACACGCGCCTCAAACGCCTCGTCCCCACCATTCCGCAGGATAAGAAAGTGAGCAAAGTGGAGATCCTTCAGCACGTCATAGACTACATCCTAGACCTGCAGCTGGCCTTGGAGACGCACCCTACGCTCCAGAAGACACAGCCCAGCGGGTCATGCCCTCCACACACGTCCAACCCGAGCCGGACACCGCTCACGGTCCTCAACATTGACCACCAGGTAAGAGCAGAGCAGCGCATCCCAACGTGAAGCCTCTTTGTGTGCTCTGCTTGTCACTCTCTTACTTACCCAGACGTGCCCTCTAATTCGCCCCCCTTGCGCGTCATTGTTAAGAGCGTTGTGGACAAGCTTTTTAAAACACAGATACATTTTCTCCTTAAGATTGCGCACTTGATTCTGATTTGCATGATAATGACAGAGCGTGTCAGAGGCCCACCTTATCCCACGGACGGTGAAGTGTCTCGGTCTCTGCGCAGCCCACTCCAATGCGCACAATAAGAAGGGACAATTTGTGATTCAAGAGGCTATAAGAGAATTTATTATTATTATATGGGGACCTGGACAGATATGGCCTCGCCACATTTTCCTGCTGTATATTTCATGTCTCTATCTTGGGGCCTCGCGTGTGTTTGGTGTCACTCGCAGCCAGATAAAGCCTGTTTTCTTTCTTCTGTGTCTTGCAGAGGACGTCAATAGTCAAAAAGCCCGAGGACTCTATTTTATGCCGCTGAGACATGAGCACTGCACTTGGTGAGTTGATATGTTACTGAAAAATGCGTGTTGTGTTGTAATTGTGTGAGACTTTTTGTTACATTATTTTTCTTTTTTTTCTTTTTTTTATTTCAAAGGCCTTAGAGACTATAGTAAGCCTAATAATTACAGAGGGACAAAGGAGCTCATCAAAAGCAGCCTGATTTGTATGCGTTTTCACTGGCCTGTCCAGATAGTAAATGCAAGTGCATTCCTGACATAAATCACGATAAATGAAGTAGCTGTCTTAATGGCTTGTACGTTCGTGAAGCAGGTTTAAGGCAAATTAGTGGGCCAAGATGCTTCCCTAAATTGAAATTGATATGGTGGAATTTCTCAAAAAAACATTCTATTGTTACACAGAGGCATGGTGGAAAAAATAAATGCTGAGCTAGGAAGAAAAGGAAAAATAAGAATATTTCACAATCACACAAATCAAATCGTTTTTAACATGAGAATAATAAAGGTGATTACTTACTGTAAGGCATCTTTTTCTCATACAAACCAACTATACACACACACACCCACCCACACATAGTTGTAGTGAGATAAAATCATGAATTTAACACAGAATCAGGGAATGTGAGATTAGTAGAATCTAGGCCCCTGAAACATAAGGTTATAAAACAGTTTATTATGTCCTATTATCATCATTTGTCTCCTAACTATTATCAGTATTTGAAATGAGAGCTGCATTAAAAATAGCATTTCAAAGCCTTCCTTGTTCCAGCCACAAATACAGTATGCTTCTTTGTGTTTCGACATATTTCAAATCTGATCCATAAACAATTGTTATTCTGGTAAAAGATCACACCATGCAGACGTTTCTGTATGTATATATATGCACCCATTTAGCAGTAACTATTTAGGCAAGTGTTAAAAAACGTAATAATCCACAAATACAGTTTAAATCCCTCATTGTAATCCGGAGGAACCTGAAAACTGCAGCTGTATCTTTGCGCAATAACTGTCACAGCAAATGTAGCAATACGTCTCAAATCTGCACTTTTCTCCTCACTATCTCCAGCAGCAGCTTCGCATTTAAAAAGTCTGATTTACAACTTCCCCTTTTTTCTTTTTTTACACAACTATAGCACAAGGCTTCTGCATAAGCCGTATGTATTCACAGTAGGGGAATGTAGGCCTATGCACCGGTGCTATGACCCGGATTGTTTTGGGTTGTTGATCAAGCATGGACTGTGTTTTGTCAGTGGCGCCAGTCAGTCTACAAGCAGCTCCACTCCCCCCTCCCTCCGTGTCTAGTCTTTTCTCCTCCTTTTTCTCATTCCTATGCCCTTATTTTGTGCCTGTTCATTCCATCTTACAGGTGCACACAGCTCTGCAGGGCGTCAGCATGGACTCACCCACAACAACTGGAGGCACAATCACTAAAGGACCCACCCCCCCTTCCCTTTTCCCTTCCCAAAAAAAAAGAAAAGGAATTCCAAATATGAAATTTTGACATCCAAATGAACTTCAACCCACGTCAATGTATAAAAAAAAGGCGTGGATGCAACCCCTAAGATGAGAAGTTTGTGAAATGTGCTTGAAAAATTGAAAACTCCAGTACAAAGCTTTACTAAAAAAAAATTTTTGGGACGTCTATTGTTTCAAATAGATGCTATTCAGGTTGAGCCGCAACCTTAAAATGTTTGTAAAGGTGAAGACAAAGAAGAAAATTCTGATCGGAAGTATGTAAATATGAAAAGCAAATGCTCTATCTAATACACTGAAGGTATATGCTCCAAATAGACTATTGTAATTAAGATATTTTTATTAAATTGTTTCATTTTTGTTGTCATGTAAATATTGTGTTTAGTGATTGCTCTGCCGGAGACACTTTCACCTTTTTATTTTGGTCATAAATGTTTTTTTTTTTTTATATAGCATGTGCGGCTAAAGGGGCAGAGACGTGAATAGTGCACTGAATCTGTAGATATGGTACTCCTCTTTCTCTGCGTCACGATTTCTTTTGTTATTATTAAAATAATTTTTCTTGCTGAATTTTTCGCTGCTCGCTCTTTGTCCCGAGGGCTTTTACAAAAATCGCTCCCAAAAAGGCACACGTTCTTGCTATATTCTTTCAGCACTTGTAACTTATAATAATCTTTAAAAATCGTTGAAGCGTTTTTGAGCAGTCCTTCATTCCAGTTTGGTTGACATGGTTTTTTTTTCTTTCTTTTTTCGAATGGCAGCAGCCCCTTTTGTTGTTGTTGTAAAGTTTTTTCATTGAGCCAGATTTACCTCACCTCCCTCGTTGCCAGTGCGAGAGGGCACTAATGTACATTATTGTGAGCTGCACTGCTACTTCACTGGCCTGTGAGTGAGGAGTTGTCAAAACAATTAAAAACATTTCCAGGAAGAATTGTGCTCGGCCTCCTCTTTTGTCCATGTTCGATTTTCAAATATACTGTTGATATGAACTGAAGCAAAGGCATTACACTGCAGGACATATACTGCGTTTTTACCTCAGCCACTGCTGCATATATACAATCAAAAGAAGCCTTTAAAATAGATCTCCAGCTTTCGGGAAGTCGTGCAAACATTAGCGAATTTGAGCCTGTTTGGTAGACGGCTAAGTGCTTATTCTGCAATTCAGCTGTGAAGTTCTTGTATAGATTTATATACATATACGATTACATACATTCATGCATTTTGTGAGCAGACTTTTATTAGTAGCTGTATGCAGTGTTGGGTAGAATACTTTGAACATGTTTTCCTTTCCAGAATAATGGATACATGACCTAAAATGTATTTTGTATAGTATTCCGTTACTTTGGAAAAAATAGTACCATGTATCCTAAGTACAATTATACATACAATTCAAAGCAAGAAACCTCTGGATCTCCACACTATGATGAAGTCAAAAGAAGAATCATTACATTTATTTATTTGTTTTATTATCATTATTCTTATATATTGTAAAGTCATGTTTATGTTCAAAACTTAAACAAGGTTGATTTCTAAATATTTAAAACCGAAACCTTAATAATAAATCGTGTTCTGTCATTTAATTTTTAAGATTCTTTTTTGTAAAATATTTAGCAATCAAAAAAAGGATGAAAGTATGTAAAAAAGTATGTATTCCCGGGATTTTAGTAACTGTATTCTAAATAATTGACTTCAAAGTTGTAACTGTAAAGGAATATAGTTACCCAGAAAGAGTAATCTGGCTGTTTGCTTTTTGGATGTAACTGTGAGACTATAGATTTTATTCCAGTTTGAAATAGAATACACTCTCAGCATATAAAAACCAGTCCACTCTATTTTTTTGGGGGGTGGGGGGGTTCTTTCTCTGCAAAGCCCAGAGGTTTCACGGAGACGATGTGACATGTTGATGATGGAGCTGTTTTTAACAAAGTGCCCACAGCTCAGATGGAACCATAAAAACATTACCGGAAGCACATCTCACCTGTTCGGGTTTAATGTGAGAAAACGTCAGCGCGGGAAAGCCAGAGACACACACGGCTTTATGACACGTCTTCTTATCTTGTTAAATAAATTACACACATAAATTAACGCGGTGGACTTTTATTTGTAGTGGCTTGTAAAACTATAAATTAAAATGCCGCTGAACACATTGGGAAAGTGGAGAAAGGAAGTTACACATTAGACAGAGACAAACTTTTTGTATCGATGTCTGATTGTAATGTATTCTCTCCAAAAACCTGAAAGCCTAGAATTGCAACAGTGAGAGCAAAGAAGTTGTTTTTGAAATTATATCAAAAAATCAAAAATGAGAGAAAAATTGTTGAGTTACCATTGATTCGTCCAACCTCTTTCTGATTCAAAAACTAACAATTAAATGTATCAAATTGTATTAAAAAAGTGCAATTTATTCAGTGTAGCTCAAAGGGCTTTGCAAAGACAGTCTTTAAAACCAATAGAACTGGTACATAATTGACATTCAAGATTCAAGAATTTATTTGCCATTTGCAGTAAAACCACATTGGAAAAACTGTGCGAGACCACCCCGGTGTGCACCAGCTCCTGCCACGACAAACACACAGACAAACAATTCATTGAAACTGTACAGGTTTATTCAAGTAGTATTTGTATAACAGTTTGCAGTAATATTGAAGTGACACTAAAGGACGTAGATGTCAACACGACTGGATGAGTTTTGTTGTTATACGCTAAACAAACATATAAACTTATAAACATTTTATAAGTTTAATTAAACCTGAGGAACAGTCAGCTACTGTATGTACTGCAAAACATCTAACTCGTCACTTTGTCTCCAAACAGTTTTTTGTGTATGTATTATGTATTTTTTTAGCCTTGGTCACGTTTTGAGATCAGATTTATGACTTGGAAAAGTGAAAAAGAGAGGAGCACACTCACCTAATTCAATTCAATCTAACTTTGCACGGCCATGTACAATTCTCCTGTGTGAGATCAACAAAGTCTATCGTATCTTATCTTCTCTTAAATCACAACAGCAGTCGTTTGAGAGGCCTCTACAAAGTTGTTGATTCGCCGACACAGATCAGAGAATCCAACAGTTCGAGTGCAGGAAATGCATTAAGCTTTCCCTGTGATCAGCCAATGAGATTTCACACAAAGTGACTCACACGGCAGGTTTTGGTTTCATTTGGTCACCTTTGACTTTTTTACAATTTTTTCTGACGGCTCCGAATTAAGGAAGCAAATCTAAAGTTTCCGATCATGCGGGAGCTGGAGATTTTATTCTTGCTTCTTTACTAAGCTAAGTTTGGAGTGTTTCTTCCATTGTAATTCATTTTAGCATAGAGTGATTGCTTAGTTATCTTGTGCTGTGTGCTTCTCATTCCTTCTCTTCTGTAACCGGCGATGCAACACTGAAATTTCCCCACTGCGGGACGAATAAAGAATCTCTTAATCCTACTCTTGAATCGTAAAGAAATGAAGTTAGATTCTCCAGCTTTAATGACAGAGACAGCCCATGCTCTGTTTGTCCTCACGTCACCCCTCTAAATGCAGGTCACTTGACTCGGGACGTCCTGAGGGCCATACACACACACACATGCACACACGAACACACGCACACATACACACACACGCACACATACACACACACACATGCACACACGAACACACACACACACACGCACACGCCCTTCTTTAGGTCTGTTTTGGTGTCCGGATAAGCTGGTGCCACCTGCGTCTCTACATCTGTTGACAGTGCACATAGACTGCTCTCTGGCCTCTCTCCGCATGTGTCCTTGTGCCGGGACAGGTACAGGTTTGTGCATATTTTTTTTCTTTTGACCAACGTGTGAAAACAGGTGGTCGGCGGTGACTGTTTAGAGCGCTCTGATGAGGTTTACAGATAGGAAAAAAGGCCATTTGAGCAGAGATAAAGTGACTGTGCAGCTCTTATATATGATTAATATAAAAAGCTAAATTTTCACGTCCGCTTGCAAACAAATTTGGGATGAAAAAGAGCTAAAAATATTGTGTTGGATGATGAAAACACAGATTATTCTTGAATTTAAATCAATTTGGCCGTAGAAACAAGACTTGATTTGTTCATTCATTGACTTACAAATGAAGTGATGTAATGAGGAGTTCTTCATCATGTTTGGCTTGACCTATACTGAATGAAGAAGACTGAGGTGCAGGCCAAAAAATACAGCCAAGGAGAGAAGCGGCACCAATGCATTCAAACCAAGAAATGTGGCTTTTACAGATGCTCTTGTGCAGATAAACTCCCTGACCCTGCCTGCTGTAAGTGTAGCAGGACATGTGATATTCCCAAAGCCCAGGGAGCTTCAATACACACTGTATTTAGTCCCAGATAAAGCCGAAAATGCGTTTTGTGATATTAGCAAACGTTTGGTTATTGTTTTTACCACACCCAGTTGGATCCAGGTATACTAAGTGGAGTTTTTTGCATTTGGAAATTCTAAAAACAGATTATTTGCGGATAGCGTTATTGTTTTCATCAGGATTTGGTCTTGAAAGTGCAGATAATAGCACATTATAGTGTTCTGTACAATTCTCTGTACAATATATAAAGCCAAAGCCATGTTAGGTTTGTTGTGAGAAAAAGTAGAATGAGTGTAAAAGTCTATTGTCTCAAAAGACAATAGATAAAGTTTATGCCGATCGATTACATTTCATGTTCAATTAAGGCTTTTTTTTATTCACACACTGCAAAAATAAGTTGTTGTGCAGTCTGTTTATATCTTGATTGTGTACTATTTTTACAAGGGGCAAGCAACATAAGATTTCTTTTTCTTCTTCCTGCTCTTTTTCATTGGTGTGACAAGACTACAATCACAGTTTTTTAAATGTAGTTGGTATGTCCACAATTGAAATTTATAATGAAATAAAAAAATAAAATAAGATTTTTCAATGCTAGCAAGCGAAGATGTCATTCTAGTACTGACAATTTCTCACTTAAAATA